ATGAGGAGAGAACAACATTGAAAATTGCCCAATCTAACTCTAGCGAAACAATTTTTCCTGCCATTGGATAGAAGCAAATCCGTTCCCTTGCTATGTACAAAAATGTTTAGTTACATATAGAGCGTGCATAGTTAAACGCGTTATATCTTTTCCTGTAAAAACAATCCTGACAGGAGAAAAGTGTTTTGACCAATAGCGTAGCCGTTAAGCAACCTGTAAATGTTGTTTTTATGTCATACCCGTAATTCGTTGTAGGATGCCAGTCTTAACGTTCTTCCCAACGGTGCCGGCGACGTGAGCGCCGAGGCTATGTCCGATGATGTGCACGTCCTTGTGGCGGAGCAGGCCGTCGCTAAGGAGTGTGTCGAGAAGCTCAGCCACTAGCTTGGCGACGCCGGACACATGGGCCCGGGCCTCCACATAATTCGGAGCAGGGCAGAGGCGGCCCCAGTCAACGCCGAGCACGTTGCAGTCACTATCATGGAGCAGTGCTGCCACAAGGAGCAAACAGATGAGCTTCACAGGAAACTCTTGCACTTTACTCACAGATTTTTATGCAGCCAAAGTCAGGCACAGCTTTTTATGCCTAAGATAAATTTTAGTGCCTTCATTTTGTCCGTTCCCTGCCAACCCGCATTTTCGTCATATTCCACTACTCTGAAAACGACCAGCATAGTACGAATATACGAAGAAGTATCGAGGTATTTCGTCGTATTCCCGTTCCTTTGACGCCGTACCTGGGCCGTACAGTAGTCGTGCTACGGGTGAAATTCACGACGAGAATGCGACGAGAAGACGGCGACCCATGCAGCGCCGGCGCCGCCGGGCACCGCCGTGTTAGCGTCGTTTATTCGTCGTATTCTGGTAGCGGAAGGGGAAAGAAACAAAACGGGCGACCACACAGTTTCCACGCTGTGACGGTATCCACCTGGCCAGGGAGGACACCTGAAGGCAGCGCGGCCGGAACCGCATCCCATGGTGACCTGTGCTTACTTGACACGAAGCCCCCTCTCAGCGTTGTAGATTTAGACAGCGGTCATCTGAGAACAACTTTTAAGCTTGCGAGCACGAACTGACTGTTCCGAAAAGTTGTGTCGAGATGTTACTCATAAAGCAATGCTCAGTTGCCCGCTGTCTAAATCTACAACGCTGAGAGGGGGCTTCGTGTCGACTAAGCACAGGTCAGCATGGGGTGCGGTTCCGGCCGCGCTGCCTTCAGGTGTCCTCCCTGGCCATGTGGATACCGTCACAGCGTGGCGACTGTGTAGTCGCCCGTTCAAGCCCGCCTCCCGGCGGCCGACCGTTTTGTTTCTTTCCCCTTCCGCTACCAGAATACGACAAATAAACGACGCTAATACGGCGGTGCCTGGCGGCGCTGGCGCTGCATGGGTGGCCGTCTTCTCGTCGCATTCTCGTCGTGAATTTCACCCGTAGCACGACCACTGTACGGCAGAGTTGTGCGCGCGAGCCAGGCTGGCTCGCGCAGTTTTGTGCGAGCCAGCACGAGCCAGGTGCCTTCTGCAATCTTCGGGTCCCTTCGAGATCTCACAACTCTGGAAGGGACCCGTAGATTGCCGAAGGTGCCAGGCTCGTGCGAGCCAGATTCTGGCTCGCACAAAACTGCGCGAGCCAACCTGGCTCGCAATCTGGCTCGCGCGCACAACTCTGCTGTACGGCCCAGGTACGGCGTCAAAGGAACGAGAATACGACGAAATACCTCGATACTTCGTCGTATATTCGTACTATGCTGGTCGTTTTCAGAGTAGTGGATTATGACGAAAATGAGTCCAAAACACGCCTCAGTGTTTTACGCGGGAAGTGGCATCGCTTGACACAAATTTGCCGTTTCCGAAAATGTAGAGTGGGCACTGAAATGTGGTGTTTATTTACGAAAGCCCATTCTTGCCCGTGAATGAACAACAAGTCGACACGCGGGGCTTGTTACTTGCTAATTTTAAATTGTAGGTTTACAAAACCGTTGATGAAAACAGGGCCTGGAAACGCAATAGAAGAGTACCGGCCGAGGTGCGATATCGCAACGAGAAAACCTTATGTGAGAAAATACATCTCCAGTAAAATGCAAGGAGAGATTTGGAAAGCTGATAAAATTTGCCGTGTACTAGGCTCATACTTGGCCCGGAGGACATGTTTGTTGTTATCAAATCCACGCACAAGTGCCGGGTGCTAGACATGTGCGCCGCGCCGCCGCCGACCATTTCATCGGCAGCGACGCGGCGCACACTCTAGATGTAGAAGGACAATTTTGTCCCTAGAAATGGAGCCGATTCGTGCACATCCAGAAAGGATGCAATTTTGTTTCTAAATCTAGACAAATTGTGTAAGGCTTTTCACAATTTTGTCCAATTTAAGGAACAAAATTGCATCCTTTTTGGTTGTGCACGTATCGGCTCCATTTCTAGGGGAAAAGTTATCCTTTTACATTTAGAGTGTAGAGGGTGTAAAGGGTCATTTTCGATTCTCAAACCTAACTTGGGGTTGGGGACGCCGTGTGGCTGGGAAACTGCTTAGCAGCTCAAAATTTTAAAGCAATTAAACAATTTTATTCGAGTTTTCCGAAGAATAATTGGCACGAAATTCTGGTGAGCACGAAGTCGTTCTGATATTTTATGAGAAGGCAAATCTGACCCCCGAAATCGTTACAAGGTACAACTCATTTGGGCTTACGCCGGTGACGCCGCCGCCCGATGACTACCACATCGGCGTGAACGCCGGCGGCAAGTTTCTTCGCACACTCGTGATAATATCATGTTTTACAATACAGGCCTACTACACGGCAAATTTCGTCAGCTTTCCGAATCTCTTCTTGCTTTTTACCGGAGATGTATACTTTCTTCACATAAGCTTCCGTGTAATGTGCAACTAAAACAAACGTGAGCATGTAGTCATAGAAGGTCAAAAAAAGGGGGTTTCCCTCTTTTGTGTGTGTTTAGGGGGGGGGGGGGGGCATACCTGGTACCATAGCAGTGAAAATCTCGCCGGTGATGTTTGTCTCATAGCCGTGAATGACAATCTTGGTCGATCTGCTTCCATCAAAGCCTGCTAAGCTCAAGGCTTGTGCATTGTTTGAAACTAGTGTACCATTCGGGTTGTCTCTATGTGACAACAATAAACACGTGTTACTCTATATTATCACTTATTTCTGTATTTAAGCACGCATTACGATCTCACCTGTTGAAAAAGTAGAAAAAAACGTTTCCTTCGTAATCTGTCGCTCTCAGTCCTGGGTCCAGTAGTTGGGAACCACGTGGTACATCGATTAGGCTGCTAATATCTGAGCCATGGAAAGCTAGCTCTGTTGGTTTGCCTAATTTTAGCCACTCGTCAATTTCGGACTGCAGATAGGCGAACTCGGGCAACAATACATTTCCTAAGCAAAAGCACGAGACAGGTCAAGACACTAGATGGCTATATGTTTTAAAATGTTCGTCAAAGTGGTTGCCGCGGGTTGAGGATCTCGAGGAGCTCCTAGTCCCCTCTCTGTAGTCCTGTGGATTGGTTGGGGAATCTTAATCACAGTGCACGAAATAAGGTATTAAGATTGTAGAACTTGAAATTCAGATCATTTTGAATAGAGGTATAAACGTAATTGGCTGAGCGATAGCGAAGCCTATTACTCCAGTGATGATCGAAAAGTTCCGCGTTTGTCTGTTTGTCTGTCTGTTCGCACGATAACTCAAGAACGGTTTGAGGCAGAGGGCTCAAATTTTTATTGTATTTTTGTATCATAAAAAGGAAGAACTGTATTGATTTTGAGCCCTCTGGATCAAGAATTCACGTGTCAAAAAAAATCAAAAACAAAAAGTCCAAAACATTTCTATTAAAAAAAAAATTGTTCATCTTTCTTTGAAAAAACTCGTCAAAGTAGAACCCTTCGCATCAAAATGTTGTCCGTTTGACACGCCAGCCAAGCGCCTTCCCTGCAACAGTCATAAGTTATTCTACAATATTCTTTTGTTTGGTGATTATATTTACCTGAAGTTAAGTGTACCAAAACTAAACCAAGCATGACTTGTGTCTTCATGGTTGTAGGAATACAGCTTCTCCGCTTGGCATACAGCATTACGTCCGGACACGACGACGACAGGTGTTGTTGCGTCTCTTATGTACATCCCCCGAGTGTGATACCTCCGTCTTTATCTCAGGTCTATAAGATTCTGTTTACTGGCAGGCAAAGGGATTTATTTATGTTGTTTAAACTGGATTACTGCAACTCTATGCTTTGGAACATGAACTCGTGTGTCGACTGTCTGTCTCGACTGTCTGTCTCGACTGTCGATACTCAGTAAAACTGCTAGAAATGTGATTACTCAAAGCATTAACACACCTAATGCCAGAACCGCAAATTTATTGGACCTATAGCGCCGATACGACCTATTTTGAATCTCTAAGTCAAGGAGATGAAGTTCTGAAAGTGT